GAAAACTGAAAATAAAAAAGAAAAATGGAAAAAATGAGTAATTGCAACTCCCATCTTATGTTAGGAAGAAAAAGTGATTTGGATGGAAGAAAAAATGAGTAATTTAATAATGTTTGGCTTCCACTTTTGAGCATCTAATGCAAAGCCATTTCCTAGTCATTGTCACAAAAGAAATAATCTTGACACCAGTTGACCAGTTGAAATTGCACTTATTACACAAGTATGCTGATTGTTGAGCATATGAAAGATACTTATATTTAGCTTGTTGTTAGGATTATATTAGAGACCCAGACAGGCGATTTGCTGCTGATACTATTGCTGCAATCGGTCTATGTGCACAACGACTTCCAAATATGGCACATTCATGTGTAGATGGGCTGTTGGCTCTGACTAAACAGGGTTTGTTCATCGCTTCTAACTTCTTGTTGTCTAGTAATGTTCTGGAGCATTGTTTTCTTGTATTTTGAAGTGATGCTGAATTTTGCAGAGTTCTTGACTAAGGATTTTGGGTCCGGAGATCAAGAAGCAGGTGTTTTGATTCAAGCGATTAAGTCTATAAAATCAATCATAAAGCAAGACCCACCAAGCCATGAGAAGGTATTCTTCTCTTTCTTGTTTCATGTTAAGCTTTGGCTGTGTGTTTCTGCTTTCCTTTCTGTTTATTTTGGTTGAATCTTTAAATTATTTGGAACAAAGTAGAGTCAAGCACAACAAAATCAGGACAAGGACAATACATAAAGCAAACTGTATTTCACTCTATGGATGATATTCCTCTTATCATCAATTCAATGAGGTTTATTTCTACTTGCATTTATTGTAGTGTATTTTTACTGTTTTTTTGTTGCTCTGGTGGATTAATGAGATTTGCTGGAGTCGTCGTGCTCCATGTTATACTTATCCATAACTCTATCCATCTTTTAGCTTCTTTACCAAGCCTCGCAGTATGTTCACAGGTTCATATTAGTTGGTTGATGATTGACCTCTTATTTTTTGGGGTTGAAGGTTATAATTCAATTGGTTCGTAGTTTGGATTCAATCAAGGTGCCTGCAGCTCGTGCAATGGTTATTTGGATGGTGGGGGAATACAGCTCTTTGGGGGAGATAATGCCAAGGATGTTAACCACGGTGCTGAAGTATCTTGCATGGTGCTTTACTTCAGAAGCATTGGAAACAAAGCTTCAAATTCTTAACACAGCTAGTAAGGTATTTCCAAAAGCTATAATGTTCTCCCTCTTAATGGGTTATAGTTGCTTCCACTGTTATATGTTCCATAGATCATTCATATACATGGAAGTAGTTTTAAATTAACACTTGGACTCCTTGGCTACTCCCTTCAACACCGTGAATGTTTTAAATTAACTCTTTGAACACTCATGTTGTGAAGACCATTTATTTATTGGATTCTTAAATACAGTGAGAGGATTTTGTTACCAGTCTCTTTCTTTCAAAGGAAATGAAATAAAATTAAAACTTGGGAATTGGTCATGATTTAATTTCCTATGTTAGATGCAAACCTTAGACTGATGGACAAGCTGAATATTTACCTGTCTATGTGGGCCTAGTTTGTTATATACGTCAGTGTCTATACCTTTTGAGTTCTCTGGAGGTAATTAGTATTGTTTCTCATTGGTAATTGACCAAGGAGTTTGCTGAAATTAATTTTTTTTTAAATAAAGAGTTACGCGATATATTCTGGTTTCATTTGATGCCTGATGATTCAGGTTCTTGTGGCTAAGCCCTTCCAGTTCTTTCCTTTCCCTTCAAATTAAGGGGAGTGTTTTCTGCTGTGAGATCAAGATGTTCTTGATCAATTCTAGAGTAGCCATAGTTGAATATTTCTGGAAAATGGATATTGTCCTTCCTTACTTACGGTGTGGCATGGAGGTTGTCAGCCTGGACAAGTTGCTGCATATAGCATATATATTATTAAGAAATCATACAGTAAAACTATTGTTGTTGCATGTTATCTTAACTCATGTTCATTTTGTGGTTTATCAATTGTTTTGCTTTCTTGATGTCAATGTCTAGAGAAAAAGCCTTTACTTCTCAGTTGTCTGTACTTGCAGGTTCTATTATGTGCTACAGGAGATCTGTGGACATTCAAGAAAGTTTTCAGCTATTTGGTTGAATTGGCCGAATGTGATTTGAACTATGACGTCCGTGACCGAGCTCGTTTACTAAAGAAACTTCATTCATGCAATTTAGGCTCTCAAGGACCAGAGGAAGGAACTAATGGTCTTAATGAAGAAAACCTTCTGCATGTAGTTGCAAAATGCATATTTGGGAGACAAACTAGAGAAGCGAAAGCTGAATCAATTAATGACCGGTTTTATCTTCCCGGGTCTCTCTCACAGATAGTTCTTCATGCTGCTCCAGGGTATGAACCTCTCCCAAAACCGTGCAGTTTGCCCCTTGATGACCTGAATGTGCCTGAAGTAACACATGCAGTTGAGAAGGGGCCTGATTACAGTGGGACAGATGATCATGGTACATCATCTGGTCCTTTGGATGAGGAAAGTGCTTCTGATTATGATTCTCAGCGCTCTATCACTGGCTCAAGTGGCAGTGGTCGTAGTGATGACAGTGAATTTACAAGTGAAGAAAATGATAATGCCGATCCATTGACTCAGATTTTAGACATTGGGAATGCTTCTGAAAATCAGAACGGAGTTTCTCTGTCTTCTCCAGCTAATCTGGGGGAATTAATGTCAAATAGAACTCTAGAGTCTTGGTTGGAGGAACAGCCTGGTTCATCAAACCCAGGCATATCAGAACAAAGTCAAGGTCATAAATCATCAGCAAGAATATCTATCAGGGATGTTGGAAGGCAGGTTAAACCAAAAAGCTATTCACTCTTAGACCCTGCAAATGGAAATGGTTTGAAGGTGGATTATTCTTTTTCATCAGAGATATCTAGCATATCCCCTCTACTTGTTTGCATAGAAGCTTTCTTTAAGAACTGTTCGTCAGAGACCATAATGGAAATAACCTTGGTGGATGAGGAGTCTAAAAGAGCCTTAGATTCTGCAGACCAAGCAGCTGCTGTAAATGAGAGGTGATTTTGCTCTTATGTTATGCTTGTCTATGAAATTCCCCATATGTCTTGTATATGTATCTTTCATTGATTATATGATTGCTTAAATGTGGGAAAGCTCTATCCATATTGTTCCTATGGATGTTATTCATATCTTTCTATCATTATCCGATAGATTAACTGAATACATTTTAAGTTGGGCCATGATATATTTATTATGAAATATGTCTGTAATAAAGAGTGGAAATTAATCTACAATCTCAACTAAATTCACTCTGATTCAATTTGGTGAACTAAATTCATTATATGGGGGACAAGACAAGTTAGAATATCTCATTTCCAGAAGTTCTGGCTTACATTCTGCACTTGGGTGTTCTACTTTCTTAGTTCCAATGGCTGAGTTTGGCCTCTCATCCTTGTCGATTAATGTTATTGTACTGTTACATTTTGTATATCTTATTGCTATGATATGTATATCTTATTCATTGTCTCCAAATAAATAACTTTTTTATTTTAAATTTATAATTGGAAGATGCAGATTTCTGCAGTTTATAAACTATGGTCCATACGTAGAAGTTAGAGGTCAGGGTTATTAAAGTTGCACTATTTCCAGTGTATAAATATAGACACTTCTGAAATAGGTTGTTTGTTGTGGGTGGTATTTGCCTTTCTGGGGCTATTGTGACCTTTTTGTTGTTTATGATGTAGTGTTTTCATGGCTTAAGCACTGTTCTATCAGTCCCTAATTTCTTGATACTGCAGCTCCATGAAATCTTATGATAATGTGGCAACACTAGTTCCAATGGAAGAGATTCCTTCTCTAGAACCTGGTCAGACAACCAGAAGGCTTCTTCAAGTTCGGTTTCATCACCATCTATTGCCCTTGAAGCTAGCTTTATTTTGTAATGGAAAGAAGCTTCCCATTAAGTTGCGGCCTGATATGGGATATTTTGTAAAGCCATTACCAATGGATATTGAAGCCTTCACAGATGAAGAATCTCATCTCCCAGGGATGTTTGAATACACAAGGAGGTTAGTCACCTCTTAGTTTGTTCTTTCCCCTTGATATTTTGAGTGCAAATTTATTCATATTTACAATTTTTTTTATTTCAATTGTGATTTTTAACAATTTTCTTTTTTTATTTAAATTATCTTGGCAATTTGATTTATCATCTGCAGATTATATTTTAAAATCATTACTTGTCTTGCTTCTTTCCTTTTTCAATTATCTTATTCCACAGTGTTCTTAACCGGATTTTCCTGCCTTATTTATAACAGTTGCACTTTCACTGACCACATTGGGGAGCTAAACAGGGGGAGTGGAGATGGCTTGTTAATCAAAGACAAATTTCTTGCAATCTGTGAGAGCTTAGCACTAAAAATGCTTAGCAATGCAAATCTTTGTCTTGTATCTGTTGATATGCCCATTGCTGCTAACCTTGACGATGCATCAGGTTTGCGCTTACGGTTCAGCTGTGAAATTTTGAGTAGCTTGATTCCTTGTTTAATTACTATTACTGTTCAAGGTAAATGCTGTGATCCGTTAAACTTATTTATTAAAGTTAACTGTGAAGAAACTGTATTTGGCCTAAATCTGTTGAACAGAATTGTAAATTTCTTAGTTGAACCTGCCCATTTTTAATCGTTTTTGGCGATAGCGGTGAAATTTGTGGACCCTGTCAGCTTGAAGAGTAATTGACACTATTGTTTGGCATGAGTGGATGCATTTTTAATTCATTGCATTTATTCTGAATATTTGAAGTTGTACAACTCTGTATTGCTCCATTTTTTGGAAATGGCTGAATGTATATTCATAGTGCAAGCTCTTTTCTCTTAAAAGCTTGATATAGTGTAATTTCTGTTTTTGAGTGTCATGTGTTTTCTGCTTTTGTTCAGCTTCTTTTATCTGAGTTTGCAGCAATGAGCATCATTCCTTTATTAATGTAACATTTCATATGCCTGCTGAGGACCCTACTGTTTTCTTCCAAATGGAACATGTGCAAGTTTGTAGAACTTTGAATATGCTGAATGCAAATGACAGTTGGCAATGATAATTCAGCGCTGCAAACAATTGTCATTCTTGTTGAGTTCTCCTTTTATCCCTCAAGCTGTTTTGCCGATCTTAGCGAATGTTGTTGATCTAAAAAGAAACCAACTTCTGTTACAAATATGTTTGCTGCAAATGACTACATTCCTTTTCCCCCTGGTTCTTTGTTCATTTCAGTTATAAGGGCAGCAGATAGCGGAACTCAGATTCATAGTGCTGAACTTCAACCATTCTTGTCATCAGAGATTTTGTTTCTTTGTTTAGGCATTCCATTATTAATCTTTTCAGAGATGCAGAACGTGGCAACTGGCTATAGATCCATTCTAGTAGTGATTCCATGTCATCAGCAAAATCTCGCATGTGCCATTGCAGAAGCTTAGGCATCAAAATTTTCCTCTTGTTTGTAACTCCCACTGAAGCTTCCAAGTACTCAACCCTTGCCCTCCCCAATTCATTCACTACTTCATCTGCTGTGTAGATCCTTAACTGCATATCACATCTTTGATACGTAAATGCATTGAATTCACTCATAATTCAGTATAGATGGATGATAGTTTGGATGCTAGTAGTAAAATATCAACACACTTACTGCCGGCGAGGACCAGCTGCCTCGGCAAAGAGCAAATGTTACATTGGGTTCTGGATACCCCAAACCATAGGCATGCCTCAGTAGCATTTCCTTCTCATCCATGGGACCCTTGTAAGTTAGATGTGAATCAGCAACTAGAAGAGAAGTGTGTCGAAGTTACAATAGGCACCTAAGTAGGACATTTTTATGAGTTGACTTTAGAAAATCTTGATTGAGATTGAGGTTGAGATAGAATCTCAAGGCCTTGTATTGTTGTTTTCCTCTACTCCATAGAGTCTTTTCGTACTTATGAAAAACTTGTTAGTAAAACCCTTAGAATGCAAAGTTGAATTTCATTGGATTTTCATTTATATATCTTTGATAATCTCAAAATTAGGTGAAAACTAGGCAAGAAGTAAATTGTAGTTAATAAGTATTTCACTCACATATTTTGATTCACATGGATGACGAAGAATAAAATGCTCAATGGCTAAAGCATTCAGCACTATACCACCGACATTGAGTGCAGCCTGGATCAAAAAAGTATAGAAGTTATGTGGCATCGGCAAAAATTAACTTTTGAGTTATTAGTAGGCAGAAATTTTATGTCATTTATAATGTTGTTTACTCTGAAGGGGCTTGTAAATTACTGGACCTAGTGGCAAGTTGTCAACTCCATGGATTAGATCTTTGCAAGGAGCAAAGAACTTTAGAAATCTATGTGACAGTGAAATTGAGGTTTAAGGTTTGCTATTGGCTAGTCTCTTTAACATTTTGATTTTACTTCTTCGAACTTTCCATAGTTCATGATAGCAACTGACCTTGTTCATGAGTGCTAGTAATTTCTCTTGTGTGGAAGGTAACCCATGTTCGAGAAATGCCTGAAATTGATGAAAGTAAAGTTGCTTTAGATTGCTGCTTTGATGCTCATATGATGTTGCTTTTTGTGGCTTAAGGTATCTTACAGTACATGCATAATACAGGCATTGTAGATATTGATCCAAAATGCTAGCTTCTGCTTGTAGGTTAAGAAAGTCAAGTCAACATTAGATAGTTTATGCATCAAAACCCTGAAAAAGAAAATGGAAAGGAAAAATAAATTAAATACTTTCTTTGTTTTTTAGTGGAAAATTGCATGGTTGAACTAAAAATTAGCCTGACCTACCTCAACTTTCCGATTGCTGCTTGGCACTCTGAGAATCGACTGACATCCAATGAGTGTCTAGTGATTTGGATGAAGTTCTTGTAAGGCCCAATGTCTCTTATAATGCCAACTAATTCTGGCAGTATGCTGTAAGGATCGATATTTGATGTATTTTGATTGAAAGGAAACAAGGGTGATTTAAAGTTCAATGAGGGTTTTGCCATGTAGCCTTTTGAAGCCATGCAGGAGAAACTAAGCTTGGGAACAATGGCCGATCCTTCTCTATCTTGTGATGCTTGGTTCAATTCAAGAAAAATGCCTATCAGGCATTTGACCAGTTCTTCTGAGAGTGCATTTGGTTTCTCATAGTTAAGCTCTTTGTTGATAGGGCATTGATTTTGGATTCTCCAGGTATGTTTCTTTGATCTTTCACGAAATTCATCTGCTCAGCACACCCAGAACCATAGAAAGAGCTTGTAAGTTCAGAATTCTGAAAAATTTTGAGTTTTAACAGTGAATACAAGGAGCATACCGGTGCATTCTGAGGAAGACAGGCTTAGGGTATCTAATGCAGAACCTAAAGAGGCTCTCCTATGACTTTTTATTTTCCCTTTATCGAATACTTCATAATTCTGTGATCTGGTTCTCTGTTTAAGATCATCATGTTGAGCTGAAACATTCCCTGGTCCGCATATTGATTGGTTCTTTGCCTGCTGTAATTGCTGCATTTTCCATTCCTTGGTCTGTTTTTTCTCCTGATAGAGTTCCATTTTCAGCTCATTGATTTTTCTCTCTAGCGAAAGTATCTCTTCCTCAACCACTGCTAGTTCAGCAAGAAGTGCCTGAACCTGCATGAAAACAAGTAGACAACCCTCTGCATGAGGTAAAACTCTACTGAATCATCCTTATTCTTTATCATCTTTCATATTTGCTCTTACTTGAGGTGGAGCCAACGAGGAAAGCAATGGCTGTGACAATACTGGCCCCTGAAGAGCGCAGCGCAGAACCCTGTTGATTTCTTTCTCCTCGTCTAATTCTGCTTGCAAGTTGTCGACCTGTAGCATGTAAACTCGGGTCACAACTACATAACTTGTGCAAAACTTTTCATGCCTAGTTGATGATGCAATTCTCTCACCTCTTCTTGGAGCTGAAGCTTTTTCTTCTCGTCCTCGCTTCTTTCCATCAAAAGGTCTTCAAATTTCATCTTCTGCTAGCTCTTAAGTTCAGCAGGATGGTAGCAGTATTTAATTGAACTTAACACAGCCAGAGGTCCTCATACCCTATTAAAATACAGATAGGCAGAGAGAGAGGGAAAGGTTGAATTTGGCGGGTCGTGGGTGCCATTATAGATAGGTAGGAGAGGAAAGAAAGCCAATGGCAGGAAGAGGAGGGAAAGGAGGAAATGGAGGAGGATGCATTGCTGCGGTGGAGGAATCGTTGGGTGTGATTGGGCGGTGAGTTGTAAACGGTGTCTAAGTGCATGGCCTTCGCATGAACTTATTTAGTTATAGGAGAGAGAGAGAGAGGTACATTTATTAATTATAGAAAGTGAAGGTGGATAAACTGGAGACGTGAAGTCCATGAACAGTAAAGACATTCAGGCTTCAACTTTTCTGAAGGGGAAGAAAGACTTTGGGTTTTATGAGTGTAATAATGCTAAATCCAGGCTGGATTTAACATACAAACTGATTGGGTAGCAGTGAATATGAGTTCCCTAACTCCTTGGATTAAATTTGAGGTTAGATAATGAGTTCCAGCTTGAATTTGGTTTTAAGTGTCATCATCCATTTTCCTTTCCCATCAAAAAAGGGTAGAAAAGGACGCAAGGTGATTAGTTGATACATGGCTATGGAGCAAAGGGATTATTCTTTCCTTCTTTCACTTTTTGGTGATGGGGGAAGTCTTGTTGACCTCTTTGTTCGTTAGATGGGGCGTTGGTAGTTGCTAAACCGAAAAGTTAGTTCCTGAGTTTTTCTTTTTTCTTTTTCATAAAATTGAAGTTTTAAAAACGAAACAAAAAATTATTCACAAATTTCGCCGTCTGTGGGAATCGAACCCACGACCACGTGGTTAAAAGCCACGCGCTCTACCGGCTGAGCTAAGACGGCTTCTGTTAAGCGTCCATCTATCAATGTTCAATTTTTAATCTTGTCTGCTTTTCTATTTCCCTTAAACATAATATTTAAAAAAAATCATTATCTATTTAGACAAATTTAAATAAATTTTTATTCTTTCATTACTTTTAATCAAGTATTTATATTATTATTTTGGATTAAATCGATCTTTAGAGTTAATAATTCATTAATTATTTTTAATCAAAATATCATTGATCATTTTATGTCGCATAATACTTATATAGTACAGTGGATAGTGATGTAATATACTGATATGATATAATTATATGATCATGTGATATTTTTTATTTTTTACTTCAATATTATCTTAGTACTGTGTAGATACCAAATGACAAATAACATTTTAATTAAGATCTATTGTTATAATGATTTATTTAACTTAAAATATAAGAAAATGATTAACTTAATATAAGAATAAATTTTATTTAAATAATTTAAATTTTTTTCAAATATAATCTTTTTTGAAAATAATAAACAAAGAAATAACAATAGAAAGATAAAATTAAGAGGTATAACTATTTTTTTTTCTTTTATTTTGGGAGAAAGGAAGATCTAAATATAGTTTCTTTGATATAAAAAAATGTACTTATCATTAAATGTTTCTGTATAAGAGGATTTATAATTAATTTTAGTAAAATATAAACTATAATGAGTCATATTAAGTACTATATTGTTGAAGTGCATGTCTACCAAATAAAAAGAAAAATATATGAGACTAGGTTCTAACTTCTAACAAATCAAGATTATATATCTATAAAATATAATAAGTCATGTTAAGTAAACCATTGAACCATCCAAATACCATTAATTATTTAAAATAAAAATCACTTGCATAATTTTTTCTACAATTTATAACTTCAGAGTTTCCTTAGTTTGGAATGATCAAATCAAACATAATAACATAATTAAATTCTAAAATTAAATAACAAAAATACAGCACAACAACATCCTTAAAAGAGTTTACAACATTTCCAAAGCTAAAACTCATAAAAATATTTTACAAAATTCCAAGCTAAAAACATTAACATGCTTGTGAAAATTGACTCAACAGTTTGAGCCAAGCTAAAAATTGCTTTCCTTCCAGCCTCCATACTCTTCTTCATCCTCAACCTGTGAAATCCAACAAAACCCTCAATTAAAAGGGAATGAAAAAGATTATTGCTTGATATACCTTTTTTCGTATTTTTCATATTTCGAGACGTAGGGTAAAAAGATTATTATTTATAAATTACCCCGTTATAGATATTCAACAAAATCCTCAATAAAAAAAATGAACCCCGTTTTCGTTTTTCTCATAGTTTAGGGTGTACGAGTATATACGGGTAAAAAGATTATTATTCTATACATCGTTGATATAGATAGATCATTTACGCGATACGTGTAAATCCTTTAACCTTGTCAATGAAGTGGTTTAGGCAATGAGATTTGGTTGGCCGACCAACTTCAGAACTTATCCATTACACAACGATAGAAGTCATCGTGATTAATAAGTTGTACCATGGGAAACATACCTTCCGAGCGAAAGTAACACCAACTTGAATCTCTCCACAATAACTTAGGTCAGCTTGAACTACACTATATTTACTAGGATGTAGTTCAGCATTCCCATTCTCTGCTCCAATGGCTAACAGATCCTCCACATATATCCTGCAGGTGTGGAAAAAGCTTTATGAATCATTGTGGAGTAATGTCACACCATTTCTACAATTGTTCTCATCTACTCTTTTCAACTTTCATTCCATCACTTTCTCGAGAAACAAACATGGGGAGGGTCTCATAGCTATTTGGGATGGTGATAGGTTCATTGATGATGCAACAAACAAATGAAAAGCATGCTTGATGAACTAGGGTTGATTGTGGCTCCAGAGTGTTTAACTCAATAGAATGTGAATGTGCTTACGTGGCCTGGCCGAGAAAGTCATCGGCAGAGAAGGTGTCCTTGTCCATGATTTTAAGAGTAAGCTTGTAGTCATCACCTGAACCTGGGTACTCCACCGTGAATGTGAATCTTTCATTCCATGATGGACTAGAACCAGCACCTGCACCATGGGCTATTCCTTTAGGTAATATGCCAAAACTTAAGCAAAACATAATGCAATTAGAACAACAATGTCATGTCTCTTTCAATCAGGCTGCTGCTTGAATTTGTTTTTGATGCAAACATCCTATGTTACTCGGATTCAGGAGTGTCGGATACGGATATGTATGCGACAGGAGTACATTTTTTTTAAAGTTTTTCCTTCTATTCGGAGGGCCAAACCTCCATACTAATATCCGTCCATGTGTATTGGATACAGGCACTTCTAGTGGGAGCAACATAACAAAGATCAAGTAGAGTGATAATTAAGCAGTGATCCGAAAGAACCGGTGGCAGAATGTAAACTATTCTATTGACAGCAAAAGAACAGGTGATAGAATTTTCTACCTCTAATTAGAACCTGTCCAGCTAAACTAATCCCCATATATATCTTGACCAGGTACCATCCAATCTACTAGAGGTCTATTTTTTTTTAATTAATATTAAATTCTAAGTCAGAGGGTTCAAACTTCAGATAGCAGAGAGTAAGAAAGGGGAAAGAAGTAACCTCTAGCCACACTGCTTTTGCGCTCTTGACCTTTGTATTGAATTATAACATAAGGATCCATTCCACCTGCCATCACACATCACAATCAAAAAGAAAAGAACAGTAAAAATCTTTAGTTCCACAATCATCAACCCTCTAGTCTATGCCCAAGACTTGACTTAAAAAAGGACTTAGCCATTTTTGACTGCAGGGTGTTCAATGTAATCAACAATGAGGATTTACATCTGGAAAAACTCTAGAAAATTTGGCAGTTACTGAGTGATGCCAGCTAGAAAATTTGAGGTTCCAGCTATGCTGTTCTTTTGATGTCAGAAAAAGGGAAAAACGTTACAAAATCCTTGTTTAAATCTAAATCTTATATTAACAATGAATATAATATATAGAGAGAATGAAGGAATCAAAAGTTTCTTTCAAAGGTTAAGTTTTAATCCATAGTCTTATATAGCAAAAAAATTATAGAAGGAAAATTTTCTGTCAAAAAAGTGAACCCATCAATGGCTCATCCTTATCAAGCCAAAAACATCATCCAAATATCAAATCAATTCTCTTTCTTTTCTGTTTTCTTGCTCTTCTCTAGGCAAGAACAGTAAAGGGTTTCCATTAGAACAAGTTTTGTAGCATGATGAAACTTTGAGAAGAGCTAAATTCAGAAAAGAATGGTTGGCAAGAAAATGAACAAAAGAAGGAACTTGAGGAACACAAACTGATCAAAGAAGCAAACAAAGCATGGATTATGGTACCTACATACCTAGGAAATCAGTGTCTTCAAGGCCTTTTGCACGAACTAACAACACCTCCAATATCCCAACAGCCATCCTTCTTTGGTTTTTTTTTTTCCCTTGCAGAGATTCTAGGAAATTGTTTTGATTCTTTGAGTTGTAGGACACTTTGTCTAGTTCTGGTTTATATAGAGGAAATGAAGGGACATAAGAATGGAAAGTTTATTAGGGTGACGGGCACGCCATATAAAAGTTAAACATGACAACTGACATGTCAATGAGGCCTTGAACAGTTCAACCCCCATCGTTGAGTAGTTTCAAGGAAACCAATAGAAAAACAGGGGTTGGCAGCTTTCTAGTTTATTACCTTGTACTAATAAATGAGCTTTGTTTGATGAAAATTATAGACATGTTCTGATCAAGTAGTAGTATTGCAATCTGAAAAGTCGAGCCAGCGCAGGCTTTCTTGCCCATTTGTCATGGGTTAGGGGCTGCCAAAACTGTGAGGACTGAAGTATATTTCATCATTACTTTCATGTGTCAAAGACTGTTCATCTTTGTTTAAACTTTATACTAATGCAATTGGGTACAAGATTCTTGAAAGTTGGAATTTACTTAGTCTTGGTTCTGAATTCAAAGATTTTTCATTTTTCATTATCATGATTATGTTTACAGATGTCCAACTTGAAGACCTTTATAATTAAATTTGGGTTTGATTCAATCAGCTAAAGCCAGCTCTCCTTTTGCCGCCTTCTTTTCCCTTCAAACCGCACCTGGAGTATTTGTCAAAGCCAGGCAAATGCCATGGTGATGGACTCTGTGAAGGGGAAGGAGCATTGCCTTCCAAATTCTGACAGCTTCTCTAGCTTATGCTGAGAGCTCAAATATATAGAGTTTGCGCTAGAGTTTTAAGTTTAGAGTCTGTTCAGCAGAATAATGAACTTGGGTATTGATAATAAAAGAGAAAACTCAAACGTTATCATAGTTTCATCAGAGTTTAGATGTAATAAACAAGAAATCAAGCCACAAATTTAGGAGTTCCCATCCATCCAATATACTAGATTATCGTTTTTACATGGTAGCACGCAAGCCTATTACTACAGAATCCACCATCAGATTAATGGCATATAAAACCAAAGGTTAGTTCCTTCGGTCGCCTACTTGCTTATCTGCTATGCCTGGGTGACAGGTCAGCAGACCTTGATCTGGACCCAGAGGGGGACCTTGACACTCTACCTGGCGGTGACCTCCATGC